TAAAACGCTCGGTACATCGAGAAATTAACCTCGTGCTCCGTAACGGGTGACAGCGAATGCTGCGGAGGAGAGCACATCAAGACCAAATTAGGAATCGTCCGCGCGTAGGAGTTTCGAGGAAGGCTGCATCCTCTCCCGATACTCCTCTCCTCTCCTCGTATTCTCGTTTCGCGGTTTTACGACATCGATCGTCCCCGCATCCGCGTCTACCCTCGCCTACACTTCACCCTCGTTTTCTCCTTCCTTTCCTTGGCCGTCGCATTCCACGCTAATTGCGAAATGCGACTGCGTTTGTGATGCACGGGAAGCGAATTCGCATGGTCGAGTATTCGTGGTGGGACGAGTCATCGGCGTTCCCTCCATCGGCCACACACGCTCTATCGTTCCATAAGAGAATCCCCGACGCTTGTGCGTCTATCCGCGGAACAGAATTCAAAGGGTCGTGGGAAACGATTCACCTTTGTTCGAGCGATTCGTTCGTGCTTGCGATCACCGATCTTATCTCGATCGGATTATCAAGTTGTCTCGAGAGTGCGTGGCTGTTGACTGGTAACGAAGAGAGCGGAAAAATGTTAAATTGATTTCCAAAATGGTGGTTTCCACGAGAAGAACTAAAGAAACGCTTGTAATAATTATTTTTTTCTTCTTCTTTCCTTTTCTTTTTCTCGAATTTGTTATCGGGCTTATTCAAGACGGAGGAGAATTATGGCAAAGATATCTCTATAAGGTGTTCTATCTTACGAGGTTTTCTAGCAATATTGAATCTTAGAGAATAGACAGATATCGCGTACCGTATCGGTTTTACGACTTGGAAACATCCGAAGATCGTATCGAGGGTGATAAATAAACTTTTTCTCGATGTTGCTCGATGATAAGGAAAGAGTAATACCTTCGGTTACCAACGTAATAATTGAGACGTATATACGGTAGATCGTACGTTATAATATTTTTTCCCCAAACGTCGTAAGTGCATCGCGATTTTTCCCGTTTAAAAAATGCGGCACACCCTACGCATACGTTTGGTCTTCATTTATTAATTTACACTACACCGGCCTCGTATTCGCCGTTTACAACTACATCGCGCATACATTAGAAGATCGATGAAAAATTACATACGCGAGAAAATGACATCGTCTCTCCCCCCTGCAATCTTCCTCCTTCCTACGAAAAAGAGGGGGGAATATTATATTGTAACACGGCGCGCAATTAATTACGCGTTCCTGATTTACGTTAATTCGCACGATAAATATCGGATCATTAATCCGAGCCGCCGTTTTTCGTTTATTTTTCAATTACGATTTGCCCAGAGTGGCCTGGCCGATCCACGGAACGATGAAAATGGCGGCTCGTTTTATGAAGCCTTTTGACGCGAGCTGGCGCGTTCCTGCACACGCCTGTGCCGCAAATTTCCGTGGATACCGACGAGCCTTTCGTAATAATATACAATTAACCGAAATTAGGTACCGCGTTACAATAAGCCTGCCTTTTCATTTACGCTACCGCGCCGCTAGAAAAGAATCAAAATGGATCCTCCTCCCCCCTCCCCCCGACACCCCTTGTCTCGCCTGCGTTTTTCGTCGAAACGCGAATTCGTTCGTTCGTTCGTTCGTTTCGACCCAGGACGGGAGGGATCATCATCTCTATTTATTCTCGGTTTCCCCGAGTTTCGGAAAAAAAACTCGTTTTTCGAAACGGTCGATCGTATTGCTCGTAATTACACGTCGAACCGGCGTCGATTTATTCGGATGGGAAGGAGAGGAGGGGGGAGGAAAGAGCTCTGTGCGGATACACAGAGGGAAATAATAAATTGAGAGGACGCGCAGGATGGGCGCAATTATCAAGGATGAAGGATGCTCGTTACGTTTTCGAGACGTTGGGAGAACGTTTTCTGTGTTAAACGATCGTTATATTCCATCGATCCATTTCGTATTCCTCGGGTAAAATTTCAAACGACGGAAACACCGAGATAGAGGGGGGGCGGAGAGGGGGATTAACGAGGCTATCATGACATGTAAATCATCGATAGCCGGGCGTCCGTGCAATTAGTTCCCTATATTATATTATGAATTTATCGCAAGTTGGACTCGATTAATCCCCATATTCCGTTATTTTCGATCGTATATCAAACGATAAGTATGATTTATTGAATTCTTACGAGTACGGGAGAACCGCGAAGAGTAAACAACTTATCGTTTACTCTTATTTTACGAAATTATCTCGAGGAACGAAATACAGGAACAATTAGAATCGAAATTACACGTTCTAACTTCCTCCTATACACCATCCAAATTCAATTTTACCGCCGAAAGAAAAACGAACGGGTGATAAATAAAGAAAATTCGACTTTTTGAAGAAGAATTTCAAAAAAAAAAAAAAAAAAGAAAAGGAACGAATACCATCGAGAGACATGTCGATCCAACTCGGTCGAATAAATTAACGAAGAATGAAAATGCGAAAAGGGAAGCAAGATTTTAACACGCGACGACACGCGAGGGACAAGGCAACAATTTTCCGCCGGCAAGCGTCAAACAATTTTCATACCAGATTACGCCTCTCTCGCACGTCCACGAATAAGTTTTCGTCTTGATTACCTCCATTGACGACAACCGCGATTCTACAAAGAGGTTACACAGATTATCCGAGCAGAAAGTGGAGGAAAGAAAGGATCAGAGTGTCCTTGCCCCTCCCTCTCTTCACTTTCTGTCTTGGCGAAAGAAAGAATCTTCCCTCGAGGCCGACGACGACGACGACGACGACGACGACGACGACGGGAACGAAAGGAAGAAGAGCGGCAAGAAGAGCGGAGCGTGTCGTCGGCCGATTCTACGCGATAACGTCGTTCCGGTTCTCGAAACCGGCGTGCTGGTCGCGCGTGAAAGAACACGTTTGCGGGACGGCAATAAAATATTAGGCCGCGGCCCGCTCGTGTACACGCACCACTGCGCCAATCTTTCCTAGAAAATTAAATGCGATGTTTTGCTCGATCGGACTTCCCGCCGCGATTTCTCACGAGTCACTCTGTCGCGCGAGCTTTAAATAGGCCCGTGAATGCCCGTCCGCGCCATGCCGTGGAACAATGGGACAAGGGGGGAGGAGGGAAAGGATGGGTTAAGTACACGAGGTGTGTCTTGTATGAATCTGCCTTGGTGTGACTTGGTCCTGGAATGCGTGAGTCATTCTTCCTGTTAAGGATAATAAAATTGAAGGATGGCGAGGGGGAATTTTGGCGGATGTTTTTAGTTCGAGATGAGAAAGGCTTGGAGGTTATGTTACAATTGAGAGATTGAGATATATATATATATATATATATAATATATATATATATAATATTATATATATATAAAAGGAGAATGCATAGCGCGATCCCTTCAAATTATAAATTAAGTGTGCAATTTAATGGATATTAAGTGATTTAAAGATAGTTATAGTTGGTACGTTCTATTGATCGAAGGAAGCGAAAAAGTTGAAAGTTTGTATAAGAAATGAGAATACCGCTGATTGTTATAAAATGTGCACGAGGTGATAAAAAATAGGATGAAAAATATCTCGTATGAGAATACGTCTGAGATCAAAAGTACGACATTCTGAGCTAAATTGATTATACGGTAAAAATCTATAATGAATTTCTTAAATACAAAGTTTACGATGCTAAAATTCCTTTTTTTTTTTATCGATTTAAGTGGCTTTTTTATTGATTCGTTCGTACTTAAAATAGGACGCTTTTGCCCAAGATGAGACACTTCCTGCCGCACCTTTTTCTGCATAGACGTTTAATGGTTAAAGAGAAATTGTATTTGCGTTACGTCACGCTTATTATCTTAGCTTGGCTAATGGAAATTAACGAAAATGAAGCAAATCGAGTTGCAATTGAATCGAAAAAAAGTAAGAATCTTCTCACTATATAACCTTATCTAATCTTCTGCTAATAAAACGTGAATTAAAATATTTCCAAAATTTAAATCTTCATATACCAATTTACTTTTATTTAAATAAATAAACTTTCATAATAACATAATTTATAGATATTTAATAGTTCAAATAATTGTATATCAATAAATGATTTCTAAGAAGTCGGATATATCAAATTATACGTTTTTATGCTTGTCCAAGCATTATTATTAATTACGCAAAAATTAAAATCTACGTGGAGAAAGAGTGAAAAGAAAGACATACCTATTTCAGTCGAATGATTCTATGTTTGGTCAATCTCGTTTAAAATGGTTGAAATCATCTAATAAGGATGAAACTCGTGCAACGTAATTTTCCAATCTCGCGTTTAATTGGTAAAAGCACTCACACTACACATTGCATCCAGATTTTGTATTAATTTCTTCTAGACAGCTCGAATGTGAACGTTGTCTACATGATGAATTGTTTCAGCGAAATTTGAATCTGTAAAATAATCAGAAATTATAATCCACTTTGGACACTTTTTTTATAATTAATTATTAATTATTTGATTCGTTTTGTTTCTTTCATATGTAACATTTTTATATTAAACTTGAAATTAATAAAAAAAAAATATCAAAAAGATGTATCAGAGGTTATAAATGTTAAAAATAAATCACGAGTAGCTTGTATTACCACGTATAAATAATTAGAATAAAGTTTTAGATTTATTACTAACCTACAATAAAGATTTAACCTATTAATTTTTATCATCACGAATGATTTTACAATACTTCGTATTCCATATTCTACAAATCGTAATAAAAACTAAAATTTCTATCGTACTTTCTACGTTTTAAAAGCAATAAGATTAGGAATCATATTAATATAACCTATCTATTAAAGTCGATATTGACAAATTTAGGTAATTAGAAAAGTTCATTTTCTATGTAAATATTGTATAGAAATTACATATTCATATTTATTTAAAAAATATTGTATACAATACTCACTGTGTGTGAAATTATTCCCTCGAATCTTCTTTACTTATTATTATGATCGGAATTTTATCACATGTCAAACACACAAACCATTAGGACGCCATTACTCAATAACTTTTCCCGCGTAAATGGAAAAAGAATTGCGCATAGCGCCATCCCAGCTAATTGGAAAGCTGCGCGGTAAACCGTAGCGCATGACGTATCATTCTGCTGACGAAAATCGTGGTGACAGGACGCCCATCATCTCGCTCGAGGTTAGTGAACTCAACTACGTAATATATTCTTATTACTATTCTATCATAATTTTTATATTATTAATTAATCTTATTTAATTATTATGCATGTCCTTAGTAATTATTAAAAACATTATTATAATAAAATTAAATGTTAATTGGAATTTTTCATATTCTTAGATAACTATATACATATACTTAGTTAATTATATAAAAAATACTAATTTCAATAATTTTTTAAAACACATTTTGATTTTATTTATTTCTTAAATTAAGTCAATTAATCGAATTTCATCGTACAATGTGGATTTATTAAATATATATTTTCAGATGCTGAATTTCAATCGTGAATATTTTGTTGGAATATGGCGTCGTCACTTAACCTTTGTAAACAACTTCGTAACATGATTCGTGGGAACGTTTCGACGCAAATTTAAGCAGGTATCCATCTCTTATTATTTGTTGATATTCTTCTGTTTATATTCTGTGTGTATTCGTTCTAGATTTCAGTTAATACGGAACTGTTATAAGAGAATTGATTGTATATAATTCTATTTCATTTTTTTAATATTGAGGTTAATGATTTCAATCAAATTTAATATTAATTATTATATTTCTTCATCAACGAAAAATTACTAATAATTAATTGATAATTTCAGGAAAATAACAGTTCATTTTCGGGCAATGAAGAAAAATTGAGGAAATAAGAAGATAGAATAGTTTTGTTTTTTTTTTGTCATCTATCGCGTGTGCGACTGCGCGCAATGCAGTTAGTAGAAATACTTGTTTTTTAATAGTATTTATAACAATTTTCAGAATAACATAGTTTTTTCCAATTTTATATAAGTTTAATTGCAAGTGTTCATACGCGAAATTAGAAATATTTGCCAAATGAACATAGAATTTGAATGAATATGTGTTAGAAATTTTTTTTTCTTATATAATGTGAATTTGTTTTTAATATTCGTTTGCAATATTAGAGTCAGTGCTCCTCTCAAGAGGATCCAGCTTCTAAGATGTTCCTAGCTTCTAAAATGTGAGTATTTTTGCATGTCACATTTTAATTTATTTTGTGTATTATTTTATAAGCTTCAAAACATGAATCATCGAATAATAGATATTAAATTACAGATAGAATATTTACAGAATATTTACAGAATATTCTATCTGTAATTTAACATTCCAATAACATGTAATATCCTCAACTAAATCTAAAGGTTTTAGTTAAAAAAAAATTTACAAACTAATCAATCAAATTATCCAACCCAATAATGTTTCAAATAGAAACACTATTTGCCAAGCAATTATATTTCCATTACGCATTGCACAAATATGCATACCACCGATTTTTTCCTCCAATCTACGCGTTTAATATAATCGTTATTTAATCGTACGAATGATGCGCGTCCGTCTCGCAATCTACAATTTCCTCTAACAAACGGTTCACGGAATTCTCACCGAGAGAAGATCCGTATCTCTCTCGTCCGCGTCTGAGCCGGTGCTCACGGGTCAGTAAATCCCGGGATGTGACGTTTCGCGCCTCCGCGGCCATCTGAAACAGTTGCTTATGTGCCGTTAAACGTCACGGGGACCGAGCAAAATCTTGGTTGATGCCAGTTACTCTTCGCGTACCATTGCATGCTCGAAAGTCACTAGTGATGGGATCAAGTATATCGCAAATAAATGAAATGAAATGAAATGTATCACGAATGAAACATATCTTTTCCACTATCTGTAATTCGATTGTTTTTTTCATTTTTACAAGAGATTCGACCCGTTTTAAGATCAAAACAAGGAAATAATTCTATGAAATGAATTTTTTCTTTTATATCGGGTTCGATTTGAATTTACAAGTGCCTAGTTTTACAACAGTTTTACAAGTTTTAAAAACTTGATCCCATCACTAGCTGTGACTTCTTATCCGGGATCACGGACGATGGTAACTGTTCATTTGTCGACGGGCCGACCGCACGATAGAAAACGCGGTCGGCAATCCATCGACCTACTCGCAAGAACGGTGATAGTAACGACTTCCGGTACGTGAAAGACAACCTCTGTATAGTTGTCCTTTGAGATTTTTCGCCGATCTATTCTCCGTGTGATCCAAATCGATCGTTTTCGAGACGCGTGCGCGATAAGATAATTTATATTCTGCGATGCAAAAGAATTTCGATATGAATTTAATGATAAATAAGATTTTGATAAAGAGTGATTTATGAGGTTTATGGGCGATATTTAAATTTATTTTCTGAAATAATGATTCGTGTAAATAGAATTTACCGATTCTTACGATTTATGATTCGATTGTTGATGTAATTGATCGAAGTAGTTAAATTTAGTTAAGTTTGAGAATTGGGTAATTAAAAAATAAATGTATCGATAGATATAATTTAAGAATCGATTTTTTCTTAAAAAATTAGATGAAGATGGACAATTCAACCATCGTATTATATTTTGAGTTAATAGAATTAACTATTATTGATATTATGAATAATTTAATTTATAATTGTAATTAGAAGTCATTTTCCGCAAAATTTACAATTTTTTTTTTTCCGTCTTATTTTTTAAGCGATTTTTTAGTGACGCGAGTAATTGAATTACAGCTTCTTTAAAACTTCAATGTTAATACAATTGCGTCGACAGGTCAATTGCTTCGATCGAGACACTTTATCAGTTTTTGTATCGTGGAACTTAAATAACCTTTTTCAGTTTAATAGAGCAAATTTATGCACGGAAAGAGACGCGTTGGAATGGGAATTTCGATCGCGGCAACCATTGTTTTTACTCTTTACTTTCACACGTTTCGATGTTCGGACGGAAACGTTGAAAGCAAAGATCAATTAAAGACAATGAAACGGGAGAAATTCCAACGAGATAAGTGACGCGTTAACACGCTAGAGAAACTCAGACCCGTTAAGTTTACACGATTCAAGATTCTCGTCGGTTCTACGAAATTTCGTAGCTTAGGAAGAAGGAACAGGAATTCGAAAAATTCTCACTCACGTTCCACACGATTGTAGAAACCTGAAAGATAACAAATTAAAAATTGGATCAATTTTTTTTCTCGTCATCTATTTGAGATTTTAAATCTACCAAAATCTAATCGATTCGAATCTTTTCATACGTTGTAACATCCAGTTTATAGTACCTGATTTATCTATAAAAGAAAAAAAAAGCCACACATCAGACGTGACTACTTATCGCTAGAGGCAGCGACGCGAGACGAGAAGATCATTGAAAGCGATACGCGAGGGACAATGAGTCGTTATCGTTTCGTCATCGATCCCCCGTTTCGTTCACGTAGAAAGAAAGAGAGAGAACCGTAGGCGTTGATTGAGTGCACGCGAAGCAACCGTGGTCGTTTTTCTTTCACGGCTCGGAATCCCAAGATCCCGTAACGCAAGAAGTTTAAGCCCCCTAGTTGACACCGGTGACTCGATCGGCGATTCCATGGTGTTCGCCTACTAACTATACAATCCTCGGTATCGCCTATCTTCCAAGGGTTGTTATCATAATTAACGGCCCGTTCGCTTAATTGACTTTTGCCCGGACAATTAACGACCTTCTTGAATTTTATTACTCGATAATCGGTCGTACCGAGCGAGACCAGCGAGTGTAAAACGTACGTCTAATCCTTGTTTGTTTTCGGAACCGGTATTGCGCCGTAAGAATAACCAAAGTATTCGAATGGTATGCTGGAGAGTAATTAATCGGAAGTAAGAAGTGTAAAACGCGATTTATGCAATACGAATATTTAATACGAATTCTTGAAATCCTTTTTCTTTTTTCCTTTCCAATTAAAAATATATAACGCGTCACTTCTCACGTGATGAATTATTCTTTTTTTGTTTCCATCGTTCGAACACCTATGCTCGGGGTGTATATTTAAGAATCGCACAATGACGAGAAATGTTCGTGGGATAGCGAGCGAAACACGGTCGTAAATTACAAGGAGAGCTCCGGGCGAGCAACCATCGTCGATTTCGGGCCGAACGGAAGCCTAATCGTGCGCGAGGCAAAAACATCCTAGTAGCTACTAATTGCTACCTGGCGAGCGTATCACGGGAGAAAGAATTTAAATCGCGTCCAAATATATTATCCCTGTCGTAACGATTGCGTCTCTAATTTCTTCTTTCTTCTCTGTTTGAGCATCGATCTCTCTCTTATCCGTCGAAACTTATTTCGTCGATTTCACTTAGAGATTGTTTCGCGTTTTCGAAATTTAATATCTTGTTAAAATCTTGTTAAACGAAATCGTAATTGATTTTAGTTACATTGGAAAGATAGATTAGAAAGGAAGTTAATCAACGCATTGCCTGGTTTACGAGGCTGCTTGAGGTCATCAAGCCGGACGAATTATTACGATCTTCTTTGAAAAAGGGAAGGAAAAAAGGACTTCCCATTAATACCTCGTGTTCAATTCGACAAAACATCTAATTCGCTCCATAAATTCATCCCGTCAATTTTATCTCGGATCACATTGACAAAAAGAAAAGGGGGGGAAAAAACCAGCCGTCAGAACATGTTCCGTTTCTACAATGCAATCTCATTCTTCTCTCCGCCGGGGTAGTCGTTGTAACTCCTCGAACGTACGATACGCCGGTTTTCTCTTGCGACTAGATTCCAATCGATTTCCAGTACGGTCGTTTTACAATAATTACTGGCATGAACAAGGCAGATAACTCGATAACAATCCACGTCGTGAACGTCTAACCGTACCGGAGACAGTGGCTGCATAGAAATTACTCGCACGACTCCGTTGCCCGACGTTAAAATCGAGCATCGGAGTATCGAGCGAGGCAGTGATCGCCTCGTGATCATTGCCGAGGGGGAAAAAATCTTGGTACCGTTCTAAACGAGAGTCACCGTGGTGATTGACTCGGAAGGAATTGAAAAGAAACGACATTGTGCGATTGTAAGTTTTGCCGAGATCTAAAGTTTCTCGTACGATCGAAACGTTGGAAAACATTCGTTATTATTATTTTTCTTCTTTCTCCCATGATTTTTAATTATTTTTATATATAATTGTGGCAGGAAAATGCATTTGAAAGGGAAGGGAGATTGGAATTGCGAGAGGACAATGGTTGATTTTAGAGAATTCCTTAGATTTTATTTCTGAAACATGTTTCCCTTGATTTTAACGTAATTGATTTTGTTTAATGACAAAGTCATTATTCACGGAAGATATTAAAAAGCTATTAGCTTTGGGGAGAACGCGTTAATGGATACGTGTTAAAAAAGTTGTAAGCATAAGATGTATCGTTTAAAGGGATTCATCAGAGAGAGAAATATTTTAATACATGTGCCCGGAACTAACCGGTTCAAAAGATATTCAAGTTTTTGGCCCGCGAGTCAATCACCTGTTGTATGCTTCAACTTTAATCCCATTCGTTTTAAACCACTCCTGACAACCGCTTCAAAATTCAGAGATATTTTTATTAA